TAATAAATGAGGCAATGCCATCTCTATACAAACATAATTGTTGCGTATGCATTTAAGCAGGGCCTCGCTTGGGTCAGACTAAGAAAGGAAGTCAAATGAAAACTCAAGTCTCTGCAATGGGCAGCAAGTAAAAATACACTCTCGTTGCCTGTGTCACAGTGACACCAGCTGGCCGGCCAAGTTATGGCAACTGCATTTAAGCTATCAGCTGGATTTTATTAAGATTTAACACATTTTGAATTGTGTTAGATAGTTTGCATTAAATAAAAAACACAAGATTTTATTTTATTTTTTTATTTTTATTTTTTTGTGGAACCAGGGATTGAACTCAGGCCCTTGTGCTTGCCAGACAAGTGCTTATTCTACTGAGCCATCTCCCTGGCCCCGCTAAAAACACAAGATTTTAAACCACAAATATAAAAGACATAAATTATGATCCAGTTTTACATATAAGATTACTGCACTAAATAGTCTATAAAAGGCTACAGCATAATATTAAGTGATACATTTAACATGTATTTTCTCTGAAATTTTATCTCTATTGAAACAAAAATGGACTTGAGGTTAAACAATTTATCGCTTATTGCTCAGGAAAATAAAAAGAGAAAATGAACCAACATATATCTAATGGCTCTTGAGTGTAGTGTATGCAAAACATTAATACTGTTTGTTTTCTCTTGGGAAGTAAGGAACCATATAGCTAAGTTTGATTTTTTTTCAGCACCGGGAATTGAACTCAGGCCCTTGCGCTTGCCAAGGAAGCGCTTATTCTACTGAGCCATCTCCCCGGCCGCTAAGTTTGATTTCAATGGGATTTATTAAACACTCTCATGATCGCATGTTTTTAAAGAGAGCAGCACAAATGCATTTAACAACTACACGTGTCTTTTTGGAGATGTGGAGAACGCGCTGCCTGCTGTTCTCGGCCTCCCAAGCGCCCAGCCCACAGGACAACTCATTTCTTCCTTCTGTACCACCCAATACCAACCAAACAGCACAGCAGGGGAATTTCCAAAAGGAGAACTTGGCATGAACCAATGAGCAACTTTTCAAAGTAGCCAGATACTGGTTTTGAGCAGGTAGGCAAAAGCTTTTCAAAACTAGTTAAAGGCAAAGGCATAGAGAGTCAACTGAATTCTCATGCTTGGGCTTCGGCTACAAAGCAACCTCGACAAAGAACAAAGCTAGGGAAATTAGTTACCAAGCAGCAGGCTGGAACTGACATTTGCCCCAGTCTTTGTCAGTATAGTAATATAATGTGTAGTACTGTTCTGAGGCGAGGAAAAAAGACCAAGAAACAAGCAGAGTCCCCAAACAGATCCCCACACACCCATAAACAACCACTCGATCAACAGCAAAACCTTAGTGAAGAAGTGCCAATCCTTTCCTCCTCCCTGAGCGTGGAGGCACAACTGAAATTTCAAGTATATAATACACTACTGTAGTTGTTATTATTATTTTTTGAGACAGTTTTAGTTCACTAAGTCAATAAACTGCCCAGGCTGGCGTTAAACTTACAGTCCTCCTGCCTCAGCCTCCAGGCTGCTGGGACGATAGGCGCGCACCACCAGGGCATGCTCCATTTCATTCTCTTACACGACAGACAGAAGCGGTCTTTTCAGCAACCCTGGCGGGCCATGCGTGTGAGGGAAACCCACCACGATCCCTCCTTCGCCCTGTATATATACTCACTCAGCACTAACCACAGGACCAAGTATGGGAAGCAAAACAAAGCTTCAGAGCAGTGTCTACACGCTGTGGAGCTAAGATTTCCTAAGTGAGACAAAAAAGTCACCACAGAAGAAAGCACTGGTAAACTGGACTTCATTAAATTAATAATTTTTGTTCACTAAAGATTACAAATAGTACAAAACACAGACTAGAAGAATATTTGCTCTATGTCCAAACACATGACTCATACTCAAAATATACAAAGAACTTCCACAAGTGAATTAGAAAAAGGCACACGCCCCGTAGGAAGTGGCCAAATGACCTAAAAGCTACCTCAGAAAACATAATATCCTAATAGCCAATAAAAATATGAATATGTGCTCACCATCCCTAGTCACAGGGAAAATCATATTAAACCATAATGGAAACAGGAGTGGGAGCGCACATGTGTAACCCCAGCACTCAAGAGGCTGAGGCAGAAAGACACTGAGTTAGGGGCTTCCTGGTCTACACGGTTACACAGGAGATCCTGTCTCAAAAAAACAACAGACAAAAATACCCACAACAGGATAACGGATACTATTACACCATCAGCAAGATGGCCCAAATTAAAATGTAAAATTGTCAACTAGTTCTTCAAAGACTGGTGAAACAGTCATGACCTGGAGGTTTCACTCTTGGGTAAAGTACAGAAGTAGATTAATGGTGGTCACCATGGCCGGGAGGGGAACGGGGAGCTGCGGCGCTTGGGAACAGCCTCCACCTTCATCTGGGCAAAGGCACCTCTGGGCCGTGCGCTTCACATCTGTGCCTTCACTGTGTAACAACTCTTCTCAGTAACAAAGAGCAGCGAGAAAAAGAACAGACGGAACGTGGCAGTAACTCCCAATACTACATGCAACCTGTTTTTTTCCTTTTTTTTGGTGCTGAAAACAGAACTTGTGCCATCCCTAAGCTATGCCTTCAGCCCTGCAACATCTTGTACATGTTGCACCTTTCTTGGTGGCGGTCCTTAGTTTTCACCAGACTGTCTTTCAGTAAGCTGGCTCCCTGATGGCAGGTATTTTTGTCCACTGCTATAGCCCCAGTGCCTTGGCTGATACATAACATATACGCAATAGAAAACAAAACTGTAAAACGAACTACAACCTTGGATAATGAATATACATATAGAAATTGACAGAGTCACTGGTAAAGGCTAATGACGGTAACCTGAGTTTCCTTATTACGTAGGTGTGCCTTAAACTAAAACCTGAAATAGAAATGTCCTCTGTGTGCTCAGAATTTAAATATCTCCTAAGAATCACTATTTTTGGCCACAGGTATCCAAAACCCATGTTAAAGCAGTTTCAAGTAAAAAAAAAAACTAAAAAAAACCCAACCCACTATGGCTTAGATGTGGTTGCTCCCTGGAAACGTGGAAAATCTGGCTGCTAAGGTAGCAGCGTTGGGCAGAGAGGCCTGTAAGAGGGCACAGTGTCTCTTGGGATTACAAGGCATCCCACTGCCCTAACCCATCTCTCTTCCACATGCACCTGTCACTTACGTGAGCATTCCCACCCTGTGATACCATCCATTAAGTTTTGGTGGACCAGGTAGCTGCCCGACCTTGAACTTCCCTGTCTTCAAAAAAGTGCATAAGCCTCTGTTCTTTAAACATTATCCAAATCTTGGGCATTCTGTTATAGCAACAGGAAACAGACTAAGACATAAACTTCAAGCTTGAAGACATATCAGTTTTCAAGAGACTTTTTTTTTTGGTGGAACCGGGGATTGAACTCTGTCCCGTGTGCTTGCCAGGGAAGCACTTATTCCACTGAGCCATCTCCCTGGCCCCTCAAGAGACTCTTGAGATTAAAAAATAAAAATAAAAATAAATAAAATTCAATGGATTTCTCCAATACCAATTAAACAGATTATTCTAAAACAGTGGTTCCCAACCAAGTCAGTGCCCCCCTACCCTGGGCTACACTAAGCAACATCGAAAGACACTTTTCCTTTCCACACCTAGAGGGTGTTTCTACACCCAGCAGAAGAGGCTATGTGCTAAGCAGCCTACAATGCACAGCCTGACCCCGACAACAAAGAACTACCTAGCTCAAGAGTTGATAGTGTGAGACAGAGAAATCGTGAATTAAGACATCACCTCTGTTAAACTAAAGGACTTTATTCTTAAACATATGAAGCAAGGAGTCTTATAAAATAATTTAAGAACCTTTCAATCATTGCTTTTTCAATAATATGAAAACTATATACTCAAGTTATAAAGTTACACTAAATGTCATTAAACAGGACACTTTATGTAAATATCTCCAGAAATAAAAACTATAATTATCATTTCTAAGACTCTATCAGGCATATTACTTATTTAATATTAATATCCTCAAGAAAATAAATAAAGAGTCTCAGATCAAATAAACACTAGCTGAAGGTTACACTGCTAGAAATGGCATAGCAGAAATCTGAACCCAAATTATCTCCACACCCATAGCGTTCTCATGAAAATGCACTGAACTGAAATTTCAGCTCAGAGGGAGATAACAAAAAGCATTTGCTGGGGTGCAGGTGTGACTTGGTGGTACAGTCACACACAGGGCCCTGGTTCAATCCCCAGCCTTAAAAAAAAAAAAAAAAAGCACCCAAGTTTCTTTTCCTTCTGAGTCAAGTGTGACACTTTAAAAAACCAACAGCAAAACCAGAAGTAGCTACTGAGGAATTGCATACTAATGACCCGCAGGAAAGACCTCAGACACTGCCAATTTTAAAAATAATGATTGCAGATCATCCTTTAACATCTTCTTCTCGTGACAAGTGAAATTAAGTGGTTTGATAAAGTTATATGCTCAAATAATCAGATATACTCACATTCTGGTCTATTAATGAGATAAGCAAAAAGAGCACATGGCCCTAACTCAATCTTGACAAGTAACTTTCATGACCTACTCTGTCATCCCATCTATTGGCGATAGATTTCTTTTTTTCTTTTTGGTGGTACTGGGGATTGAACTCAGCACCTTGTGCTTGCCAGGCAAGCGCTTATTCTACTGAGCTATCTCCCTGGCCCGAGCAATAGATTTCTATAGAAACCACTTTAAGAAAGCTGGAGGTGGCAGCACACACCTGTAATCTCAGCACTCGGGAGGCTGAGGCAGAAGGATGGCTTCGAGTTTGAGGCCAGCCTGGGCTACACAGTGAAACTCTGTCTCAAAAAATTAAGAGAAATCACTTTAAGAAAAGATTCCCATATTAAATTTTGTCTATTGCTTTCCTGTCCACATTTAAGGGCTTTTTGGGATTCTTTGTTTTAGCAGAAAGAAAAATGTTCTTACCTTATGAAAGCCATGTTCATGAGCATCATCAACTTCTCCATTACTAGTCACTGGAATTTCTGCTGCTGAATTTTTGGGAGACTCTTGAGCCATGGTAGACTCCTTAAAAAAAAGGGGGGGGGGAGGAAACGAGACACTAATTAATACCAAATCATATAAGGCACACAGTCAAGAGCACACTCTTCACCAGTTTCTATTTACTAGCCACCAGTTTAGAACTGCAACCTGCCTAAGACTTCCATAACAATCATGTTAGTGATGTAATAAAAAATGCACCCTCATGTTTTCACTGCACTCAATCCCCATTTATTTATCAAAAACCAACTCCTTGTTATAAGTACCAAGAGGCACTATCCTTGCCTCTTTGTTATAAAAGATCACTACTTTCAGTTGAATGAAATACGCTATAGAAAGTCAGGCTTGGCTGCTAACCCATCTACTGCAGCTCTATTTTTCCTGTTGTGTTTAACATGTTTTTAAATGAATTTTTGTCTAAAAGAAGAGTTTACCCAGTATAAAGTGTAAGCCTCTTACAATTTTATAGGAGAATTAAGTTTTATACTCTGGCTTTAGACCTCTAAAATAATACTTAAAAACGCATTTGTTAATTTTAACCATAGAAATCACAAATTTCTTTCAGAGATTAAGTAATAGCAGAACACCAATCCTGATCGCTAAAAAACTGCTCCATCATGATTCATTCATTTATTTATTTATTTATTTATTTATTTATTTATTTATTTATTTGATACAGGGTCTTGCTATGCCACTCAGACTTGTAGTGATCCTCCTGTCTCAGCCTCCCCAGTGCTGGGACCACAGGCACATGCCGCCATGTTTTGGAGCTGGCATGGTGTGCCTGGGGCTCCAGGGCTGGCACACCACGCAGTACTGGGTTGTCAGGCAGGCGCTTAAACTGGTCGGGCTATCTCCCCTGCCCATGATTCTTTTAAAAGTCTGAGTAAACATTGCTAAGTTGATAAACTAAGCAATTTATTCCACTTCTCACAGAAAGCCACTACCCTTTTTTCTTTCCCTCTTGTCTTTACTCACTAAAGATGCTAAAAGTGCTGTATATACACGTATGTATACACCTAACTTTCAACAGTGGTGCCAACTAGAATAAAGGCCTTGTCTTGAAATACTCCTTAGGGACAGAATCACTGCAAAATACAAACAAACAAACATGTAATTTTTTTTTTTTTTTTTTTGGTACCAGGGATCTAACTCAGATCTTGCACTTGCCAGGCAAGAGCTTATGCCACTGAGCTATCACCCGGCCCAACATGTTGTAACATAAACCCAATCCATAGAATAAGCGCTTGCCTGGTAAGTCCAAGAGCCTGAGTTCAATCCCTGGTTCTGCAAACAAACAAACAAACAAAATACCAATCCAGAAACATTATTTGCTAAAACAAAGTAGACAATATCACTGGAGAAAAATAACAGAATCTAGAGTTCCATATCTCAATGTCTACAACCGTACCAAAATTACTAGAAATACAAAGGACAAAAAGATAAAACAAAAAAGGAATATGTTAAGGGAAAATGAAAATCTAGTCTGAGAAAAACCAGATGTTGAAACTGACTTTTAAAGAACCTATTACTATCTTCAGCTAAACAAAATGAAGCATGTTTAGTGAATCAAAATCTCAGTGGAGAAAAGGAAAGCTGACAGCAAGGATGTAGCTCCAGGAATGAAGCCTGCCTAACGTCTGTGAGGCCCTGGACGCCATCCTCAGCACTGGGGATGGCAGCGGGGTGACAACAAGGAACTGGAGAAGCTAAACCAAAGCAAAATAAACTAGCCACTGCTTAGGCAGATGCAGGGGCCTGCAGCTTGACCCCCAGGCCTGAGCCTGCCCCTGGGGTGTGCTGAGTCAGTGATTGAGACTGGGCGTAGTAGTGTGCGCCCTAGCACTTGGGAGGATGAACACAGGAGGATCACTAGGAGACCGATCTACGCAGTGAGACACTGTACACCCTGTCCTAAGATAAAAAAATAAATAAAAATAAATTATCCAAGGCAAAGAAGAGTGAAGCAGAATGAAGAAAAAGATTTAGAGACCTATTAGATGAGATAAATGGTCCAACACACACACATATGAAATATCACAAAGATAGGAAGAAAATTATACAGAAAAAAAAATACTTGAAGATGGTCAAAAATTCCCCAAATTTGTTAAGATGAAACTTTGCAGAGGCTGGGGCGATAGCTCAGCAGTCCAAGAGCCTGCCTGGCAAGCACAAGGACCTGGGTTCAATCCCCTGTACCACATGCCCACTGGCCCGGCCCCCGAACATGCCGAGCTGGACATCAAGATTGGGCGTGATGTCTCATTCCTGTAATCACAGTACTGGGAACGCTGAGAGAGGAGGATCAATACGAGTCTGAGCTACGTAGCAAGACGCTGTACCAAATACATACATACATACATACATACATACATACATATATACTTTGCAGCTAGAAGATGCTCAAAACACACAATGGAAAATAAACACTAAGAAGTCTGGGCAAAGGAGTGTCACAGTCAAACTTGGACTGTATGCTGCTTAACAGAGGTACCGCTGAGAAACAATGAGTCAGGCAGTTTTGTTCTTCCAACATCATCGAGTACATGTACAGAAACAGAGACAGGTGGGCATGTGGCTAACTCAGTGATACAACCTGATGAGACACGATCTCTAACAGAACATCACTATGTGATGTTGACTGTATTTAAAACCCAAATTAGCCAAGCATGGTGGCCATGCCTGTAATTCCAGCACTGGAGAGGCTGAGGCAACAGGGTCACTGTAAGTTTGTGGCCAGCCTGGGCTATAGTGCGAGTTCAAGGACAGCATAAACTACATAGCAAGACCCTGCTTCTAAATTAATCAATTAATCAATCAATCAATCCAAAAATAAAGTTGTGGCATATCCAGACAATGGAATATTCCTCAACCATAAAAAGGATGACACACTGATATATGCTACTACTCTTAAGTAACCTCAAAAAATTGTGCTGAGTCCAAAAAGCCAAACACAAAAGAATACATCTGTTTATGATCACATTTACAGAGCATTCCAGAATAGGCAAAGCTGATGTGTCGTGACACATGAGTGGTCACCTAGGAGGAGGGTAGCGAGGAGAAGACTGACTGCCCAAGGACACAAGGAACCTTGGGGTAATGGCAATGTACTGCATCTGGACTGTCCTCGTGGCTTTCCCAACTTACACATTTGTCAAAACTCCTTGAGTTACACATTTTAAACAGATGCGTTTTTATCAAACGCAAATTCTGTTTCAATGAACTGTTGATTATTTTGAAAAAAACAAAAGATAAATTTCCATTTTATCATGGAAATTTCTAAGCCCAAATAATTTATTTTTCCTGCAAGCCCAAAATACATTCACAGACCAATTCCACTATGCTTGGAACTCAGGCTGAGCAATATTTAGACTGAAAAAAAAAAAAAAATTATTTTGAGAAGGGTCTCAAATTTGCTATGTTACCCTGGCAAGGCTCAACCTTGTAATCCTCCTGCCTCAGCATACCAGAGTGCTGGGATTACAAGCATGTGCTACCACGCCTGGTCAGACCTGGCCTCCTGACGTCACTGTGCGCAGAGGTGGAGTCTTAGCAGCACCTGTGCTCTCTCTCTCTCATCACGCCTCTTCACCTAACACATCTCACTGCCATCGTTAAGTCTCTGTCTCAGGGTGTGATTTCCACTACACCAAGAAAATAAAGGTAACTTTATACAGGTTGCTTTAGTGACTATTCTAGGCATGCATTTGTTCCTTAGCACCTGGAATTTGCTCCTTATCATCTGGGAAAATTCTTAATTGGGTTTTAGAGCAGGACAAAGTGCTCCCTTGTCTCAGTGGGACTGATTTTAATGATACTGCTTTTCTTGACTCTGTCTTCTTGGTACCTCTGCTGGCCACACAGCCTTTGAAGCTGACTTTTTCTCAATTTTGTATTAGTGTGCATAGTATATGATTCTTAAATTCAACTTAGAGGGTAGATCCACATACTGAACCTATTGTAATTTTTTATTCCCCTGCCTCTTCCCTCCTTTCCCCCTCTTTTCATTTCTGGATCCTCTTTCAATCTGCAAAAGTTCTAGCTGCTTCCTATGGTCAACCTTTTTTAAAAAAATACTTTGGGTTTCTCATTTAAGAGGAACTGACTTTAACCTCTCGGTCCCCTGATATGTACCTTAATTCTATACCCTGAGCACAGGTCCACTTTTAAATTCCCTAGTACGTTTGCTAACTCCACACAACTGCAGGTTGGCAGCTCTCTCAAAGGGACCCGACTTGCTGGCTGACTGAAATACAGCAGCAAAACGCCTGTCATTTTCCAAAATACATCCCAACTACAAAGACTGCATTAAGGCAACATGCTCTCACTGTAAAAGTGACTGCACTGGTCTAAGTGTCACTTAGAAACATCCCCTATTTGGTACAGGGCCTGAAAATCCAAAGTACTTACTGCCTCCCAGAGGACACCAAAAAATGGCAAATAAGAGTGTGTAATGCAATCATGAAAAAATCCTGATTACTCATCTTAGATACTGCAAAGGAGCATCAGAGTCATAACTGATCTGCCAAGCATTACAGCTATCTCCTTTTTGACTCCCTACTGCAGCCCTCTATCGATGCTGGGAAAAGCCTCCACATTTTGAGCCTTGGGGGAGAAGCAGAACCTGCCTCATACTATATAAAGGGTGAAAGAAAATACCAGGTTACCTAACAAGTACCTGAAGCCAGAATACTTGGGTCCATTTATGACTCTTCTGTTCCCTTAGTGAAAATCTTAAGCAAGTTCCTAAAGCTCTCTTTCCTCAGTGTACCATGACAGGATTTACACCCCATCACCCTAAGTGCTAAGCAGAGCACCTGCATGTCACCCAGCTTTGCCAGTCAGAGGCATTTGCCCCATACTTGCTGGCTGACTGTAATACAGCAGCAAAAACGCCTGTCATTTTCCAAAATACATCCCAACTACAAAGACTGCATTAAGGCAACATGCTCTCACTGCACAAGTGACTGCACTGGTCTAAGTGCCACTTAGAAACATCCCATTTGGTATCAGCAACTAAAGTTCTC